TACGCCTGGTAGCCCGCCGCCGCCTTCTTGCGCTCCAATATGTTCTGCCACATTCACAAACGTGAGCCGCGTGCACAGCAGTTCATAGCGTTGAACGTATCTTTTTTTTTTCTTTCTTTTTACAGGGGGCTTTGTCGCGAAGCGACGATAACGCCCCATAAGTCTTAAACAAACAAACTTAGTTAACTAACTGTTTTCTTAAACAGATGTCGGCCAACTTAAGCGCCATCTCGGCCACGTCCGTAGACGGATAAGCCAGGATAATGTTTACGTGAAGCGTTGTACATATGTAAGAGCGCGCGGACCTTGTTGTACCGCTCGTCGTCCAGCATGTTGACGTTGACGAGCACGTCCTCCGCGTCCTCCGCCAGCACGGGCGCGTCCGCCAGCGTCAGCACCACCTCGCGCTCCTCGCCCAGCTGCACAGCGGAACACATTCTCATTAATGAAAACAAAAGCACTGTCCAACAAAAGCTTCATTTTTTACCAAACTAGTAGAGTAAAATTTGACAAAGCTATAAAAAAAAAGAGTAATTAATAAATACCTGGCAATAACATATTACAATAAAACATAATAATCAGTTTATTAAGTGAGTAGTGCCCTGACCGCGTGTATGTCGTGCGCGACGCGCAGCCCCTTGAGGTGCGCGTTGGAGTAGCGCGTCTGCTGCGCGTGCGCCTGCCGCTCCTGCACCAGCGCCGCCACGCCGAACGCCGCGTCCAGCTCGTCCAGCAGCGCCGCCTGCGCACCGCACCGCTCATTACACCGCCTTGGCTCCGACCTCACCGGCCACGGATGTTTTAGAAAGAGGTTGCATTGAATCCGGTATGTGAGTGCGGAGAGGCCGAGGAGGATACTCATCACGTTTTGTGGGAATGTCCTCGGTATGACGATCCGAGAATGAAGATGATGGATGGGATTGTTCCACAGAACACGGGTCCGATTTATCAGCCGGATCTCGTTAGGAACGCGGTATACTTTGTTAGGTTACATGAGTTTGCACATCGTCGACATCAGCGAAGATATAGAGTGGAGTAGAGCGCTGGTGTTCGTGTCCATTGTGTCGACATACCCATTAGAGGGAGACTCGTCACAAATGAAGACAATACAACTTGTAGGGATGACTATGACTCCCTAAGGTGCATGCGGTCAGACCGTGCGCCCTCCCGCGATTCGGCCTCTATGACCTGATGGTCGGTTGGGCCATAGGTGGTGGGTATACAAGTAATTAATTATACTGTCATATGTTAGACAACCAAAATCAATCATTCTTCTTTCTAACGTGTCTTTCAAATTCACACATAAGTAAGTATTTATGAATTTAATATCAAAAAAATTTAATCACGGAATGAGGTTTACGATAAGCCATGTGAGAGCCGACGCACAAAACGTCCCGAACTTTCACTTTCATACTACAAAATGTTGTCAAAAAAGATGCCAGATTGCCACTCACCCTCTTATCTGCCGCTTTCCTCTGCTCCTCAATCTCGCGGGACTTCTTGACCCAGGCGATGGCATCCTCGTCGTCCGACTCCTCCGCCAGCAGCGTCGTCTGCAGCCTGCCAATTTCGTAGCGGTGAGTTTTACAACTGATATAATAAAAGGCATTGACCGACTTTACTTCAACAAATACATTAAAAAGCTGCGTCTTATTGGTTATATCCAAAGGACTGCTTTTAGTTTCCCCGACTGTACAACCAGATATGTGCAGTGGGATGTCTACTTACTTCTGCTCCAGCTTCCTCTTCTCGCGGCGCACCTCCAGCTTCTCCCGCAGCTTGTCCGCCTTCTTCTGCTGCGCGATGTTGCTCGCCGGCTTGTGGTAGAACTCGCCCAGGTCGTCCTTGATCTTGCCGTCATCTGACACACAACACAGCATTTGTGAATCCAACTCATCATACATGGTACAAGAACAGGAAGAGATGTAATTATAAATTATTTAATCTCAATATAACAGAAAACAACTACAATTCAGGTAATAAACAATTCAGGTATCTCTGTTTAAATACTATAGATGTATTCATGTGCAGTTGTTGGCAATGTTAGACATACCTGCCGTCTTCTCTGCGAGGTCGAGGGGCTTGAGGCCGAGCTTGGCTCGCAGCCGGTTGCTCTCCTCGATGGAGAGGCTCTCCTGCGCGCCGCCGCCCCTCGACGGAGACTGCTCTTTTTCATGTTCTCTGCAGGGTTATTAACATTCTATTATGAATGGATATATTTGAATACAAACTAGCGTGTGTCTTACCACCAAAAATAGACATAAGTAGTCTTCTAAAATTAATTTTAAGCATGTTTTTTTAACATTACACTATAATATTATCCAAAACATTTCTACAAATAGCTAAAAGTTCTTGTGTACCTGGAGGTGTGACGTTGCGCACTGGAGCTACGGCTGCGGCTGCGGCTGGAGGCGGCTTCCGCAGCGGGCAGCAGGTGCGAGTCCACCGGCACCTCCTCCACTGCAACAACCACCACACGTTACAGCTGCACTCACATGATACATCACATCTAACACTGAGTGCCCTATCACTGGCTACACACTTGTATTACTAGATTTTCATCATATCTCTCTGTCTTTGATAACATCAGACAGTATAACAGATTAAACATGAAAGTTTTCTATTAAATTACACCAATGTCTCCCATGCTGCTGGTGGGGCAAATGTCAGCTGCCACCCTAAAATAATCCAATAATGCAAAATAGATATAAAACTAGTTGAAATAAGATCATAATAGAAGCTGCCCCTAGCAACTGGATTTCCTAACTCATTGGTTGGCAGCATTCTTGGGGTCTTCTGTGCATTGGCTGACATAGGACATTAAATAGTACTTACTACATGCATATATCCACATTGATTTTTTCAATACTAAAAAATGTGATAATCATTGATTTTTGAACAACAAACGCAAATTGCAGCCATTGTTTTCACAAGGACATGATATAAAACAAGTAAAAACCTTGCATTGAAACAAATTACCACTTAAAATATGGTGGATAACTGATTTTGTATACAAAATGTACACATACTTCATTGTAAATAATTTTAACTGACTGATTTTAAAGGGGACTCATTTAACTTATATTTGTTTATATATGATTGGACAGCTTTTTAATTCTTAAACTTAATTATGGCTTGTAGTAATTGGGACTTTAAAACTTTTTTTTGTGGTACAATATTTATTTCCCACTACAGTCATTGAGTTGGTGACCGCAGCAAGTTACATTGATCAATACCTTTAGAATCAATAATATAAAGCTTCACTTTCAATTTCACTTAAAATAATTAATATCTCTGCTAATAAAGGATTATTTATCAATAATGAAAAAATCTTATGAATTAAATTTTGAGCAATGGCAACCACTTGTATTTATAAATAACAAATTGTAACTCTGATTAATATATCTTTATACAAGTGTGTGTGTACAAGAACAAAGCCATTTAGTGCATTTGCCAGGCTATAGTTGTAGTCATCTTCTCCTCACTGGTCAGTTGGCGAGTACCCATTTAAAATACCCACCTCATCGGACCAGCACTCGGGATGCGGTTACCCGTCTCGAATGCCACCATGTCTGAAATGATGACCAGAATATGCCATTATCTCGTCAACATAATGTGACGCCAACGCTAGTGGTACGTTCCTATTCTTTATAAGAAATTCGACTTTTATATTTCAATACTTTCATTAAATAACTTTGAATCACGAGAAAGAAAAGAAAACTACCACCCGCGTGCAGCGTTTACATGTGTAAGATATTTTTGTTTGTACTGACCATCAGGAGAGCGATCCTTCTTGCGATCTTTGTGTTTCTTGTGGTGCCGTTTTCTTTCACGTTCTTCGACATCCAATGGGGAACGCGAACGACTCCTGTGCTTCTTCTTTTTGGACTCTTTCTTATGTTTTTTAGAACCCATTGTTTATCTAAGAAAAATACCAGTTATTGAAGTATTATAATACAAATAGCTGGTAAAGTAAGATTACAGGTTTGTGATTGTTTTACACCGAATTCACACCAAGGAAAGCGTTCTATATAATAATAAGCACGTTTCTTTTTATTTCACGTCCTTAAACCCTTGTACTTTCAGTTGATTTTTGACGGATAAATAACTGCGTCACGTTGCCGACGGCCATTTGCAATTTGCATTTGCATAGAGTAAGTCATGGAGGTACTACGTTCAACAGGAGTGTATTCTATGATCTATCTGTACCTCTTGCAGTTAAAATAAAGAAATAAAACCTTAGTTTAAGGGCATAAGAGTCTTTTTGCACGCAAAATAAAATTGAACCTAGTGAGATGACAACACGTATCTGATATTTCTCTTTCCAACGGTGACTTCGAGTTGCCAGATATCAATCGTTTCGTTGTTTGTAGAAAAATAGGCAATAAGGAATATGCATGTTTTTTTTTATTTTTTCAATCGATTCTACTTGTTATACAATAACCAGAAATAAATTTACGCGAAAATAATCAACCATTGAGCTAAAAATAATAAAATAAAATTACCACAACTTTCGAGCGACTAAAACGCGACCGGAGTTGTCATGAGACAATTGACGTCAATCGTCATATTCCATTCGTAACATACGCTCAGATGTCACTTCGACGTAAAAAAAAAACAAAGTATCTCATTGCTTCTCAAGGTCAAAAAGTCAAAAATCGACACATTTTTATTATTCCTGGTACAAATAAGTGGTAATTAATAATTCTATTCATTCATTTTTTATTTTAAAGTTGGTTTCGATATCGTGTTAACAGTAAAATACTTCAAGAGTGTATTACTATATAAACTAACGTAAATAAACTGTGTATTGACAACACAGCGACGTCATATTAGATAAGCCACTTGCTTCGACCAATAGTATGAGTTTTAGAACTTAGCGAGGGAATTTAAAAAAAGATACTTTTAATGATTAAACTTTGTCACTAAATCACAATCCTCTCACACAAGCCAAGAGAAAGACTGAAGAAAGTATTCTCTTCCTCTCTCTATCTCTCTTCCTTTGTAGCCATCCACATCAATTCTTAACACTTTCTGGTTTATGTTCCCATTGTCTCGTCGTATAACATTTCCAGACTACGCTAACCTTTTGCTTCTCAATTTCTCCACTTTGAAACTTCCTCTAATATACACATTCTTAACTTATCCATACTTGTCACAACACACATCCATCTTAACATACGCAACTCGGCCACATGCAATCTCTATTATTAATCCGCAACTTTGGTGGCTCAACATTCATTGTCTAATTTTAATATTAGAAAAAATAAATATGAATATGGAATAAAAAAAACTGCCGTTTTGTATAAAACTTATTTATTTCTAAGCTTTAACAAATCTCCAAACGTTATCTTGATTATGTATCATTTATATATTCAAATGATATGTTACATTATTGAGTAGATGAGCACTTGCCACATCCAATAAATACTAAGGCAATGTGACACAAACTTGTAGTCACAACAATTAACATTAAGCAGTATGCAAAGAGGAATGTTTTATCAGTAAACAAGATTTAAAATTATTGTTATGTGATTAAGTTAAATTTCGTCTATTTAAGGTCTGATAATTAAAGTTTTTCAAAAAATAGGCAATATTCTAGGTAATGAAAATATATCGCTTTATGTATGAATTGAAAAATATTTACGCGTTTAACTTTACAATAACGAAATAAATTATTATATGGTTATAACCGGAGGTACATTCCTGTGTGAATGATGTAGAGACTGGAACAGCGACCGATTGCTGAAGTCTCTGCGTAAATAAGTAGTTTCCAACTCGTGCGGAGCAACGCGCGCACGCGACTTATAATGTAAAACGTAATAAATCATTTTCTTATCGGACAAAACTAGACATTTCCTTAAATACAATATTTAAATATTAATAGAATAACATAAATGTATTACTATGTTGTATATTTCAACAGACTCATAATATTGCTTTTCGGGAAGACTGGCGCATAGTAAGAGATTGGGTATAATTTATTATCAGTTACCGTGATAAATTATATTTACACAGGACAATGCATTCCACTGCAGTCGTGTGCCGGTGTAAAAACATAAAGTTTATGCGGTAAGTGAAGTGGTCGAGGCGGTTCTCGAGAAGAAATGTATTGTATTCGATGCGAAGCGGTGTGTAGGTGCGGTCAGAGCAGCGCGGCGGCGAGCACGATGCGCGGCGGGGGC